TCTTTGAGCGGCTGTGTTCCTGAAAGCCTGTCTGTCTGTAAGTCTGCTGCCCCCTCTGGGCACAGACTGGTGGTTGGAACCAGCGAGAGAGGTTTTGTCCACGTTTTAATAAGGGCTTTGGGTCGGAACACTGGAGGCCTGAAACTTCCGTCCCTGGCTTGGGGTTGGATCAGCAGCGGACGTGGACGTGCTCTAAGATCACATTCTGTCATCTTTTGATCGTTAATTTGGAAAAATAATGAGATATTTTTGCTGATGATCTGCTGGCCAGGAGTACTGAGTTACAGGCCTGCAGTTCATGTCTGTGAGAAGCGCAGGCCGCCACCCTGTCACGCAGCGCTTGTTCACCGGCGTTAGGCATTGCTGATTCACACGCGGCATATAATTTAAACATAAATGACTGCACGAAAATTTAAGATACACATGGCTTAAATATGGAGTCACATAAAGAGTAGCAATTAAAAATAGTTTTGTCTCAATCAAGGAAAGTTAACCTTTTCCTTTTGTAAATAGCCTGAATGTGTTCTGGCGAGCTGCTGACCCAGGTGCACTTCCGACTGCCTGACACGAACATAGGACATTCAAGGATTGACCGGGCTGCTCTCGGCCTCACCTGTCAACCTGTTACCTTTGCGATGCGAGGGCTGCAAATGTGCCACCCTGAACAACAGCACAATTCCTAGAGAAAGCGTGGGTCCTAGGACGAGAGCCGCCGTGACCTTCCCGAGCAGCAGGTGGGGACTGCATTTCACGTTTTAACCCCAGTTCAGTGCTTTTGACCAAAGGAAAAGGGCTGAGAAATAGTATTTTTCTGAAAAGCTGCCACAGACCCACAGGGGAGTCGCCCGTATTTTAAAACCGCAGTAAATTGTGGGCAGGACCTAGAACGTGAGCGGTGTTTCAGTCCCTAATGGACCCTCGTGTCCAAGACCAGCGTGCTTTTCATTTCTGAGGAGACATCCGCCCTCGGAAGACTTCGACTTGAAGACATTTAGAAATAGTTTGAAACTTGAAACCAGCATTTGGCTGAGCAGCAGCTCTGTCCTCAGGTCTGACTGCCAGTGGCGACGGTCCCTGGGGATGCACAGGTGACTGAGCAGTCTGGTAACAATGCGCTTAGAATGGCTGACTTCTCACCACGTGGGGGCAGGGCCTCTGCCCTCACCCGGGCCCCCGGGGGCCAGGACTGGCTCACAGTCGACCCCAGGAGCTGCCTGGGTACAAGGAGACTCCAGACAGGACTGCCCAGTGCGCGGTGAGGACAATGGGGGTGGTTTTACCTTAAACACAGAGTATTCACAAAGGCAAGTTTGAGATTAATTCCTCGGCTTTTGATCTAGGATGCCGTGTAGTGATTTAAAAGGAAGAGGGATTTGAGCCTGTGGGGCTTTTCTGATTCCTGACGGACTCCCTCCCGTCCCACTGAGCGCAGGGGAAGTGTACTTGACTGAGAAGCTCAGGGAAGGGGTTCTGAGTTTGGTGGTGGCCACGCACGTGACACAGGGGCCTGCGTGCACAGGATCTGGCCTGTCGCAGCTTCGTCCTTGTCCGTCCCCTTGGTCCACATCTGGGGTGAGTGTGTGGGGTCGGGGGGTGGGGGGCGTAGAGACATGGGCTGAGTCTTCCTTCTCAGGTGTGGCTGCTGTGATTTTCCTTCTCACGTCTGTGCCCTTTGCGTCCTTCTGCCCGCTCTCCTCACAGTCGTCACAGAGCGAGGTCTGTGGTGACAAGAGTGCCAGCATTCATGACCTTCACTCTGTGCGGCTCTGTCTTCTCTTTGTACGGGGGTCCCCACAGGGAAGCTGGTCGCTCCTTGTCTGGTTACCGTTGTCATGCGCTGGAAAGCTGGTGAAAGTTCAGGAGCGTTGTGTTATGGACTTGCTTCAGAGGCCCTGCCCCTTCGTCCTAGGCTGTGGGACCTGTTGGAGTTGGCCCTGGGATGTCCTTGCTTCCGTTCCTCGGGCAGGAGAAGGGAGATACCATGTGGGCATTCTCACTGTGACCACATCATCTCCTTGCAGAAACGCACAGTAGGACCTCTTGTCTCTTAGCGAGTTTGTGCTGTCCACTTGGTGTTTGCCTTGGTCCCAGGTCAGCTGGGAGCACAGTCCTTCCCTGGACCATTCCTAGTCTCAGGACACACGGGAAGTCTCAAATATGGGAAAACACTGTTGAACTTGAGGAGAGGAAACTCTTGGCTCACAGCTCAAGTGAGCACAGCCTTTTTTCCTGATCAGGTGATGCTTTACCTGTGTTTGTGGTGCATCTGCTCTGCCCGCTGAGTTTGCTATGTGGTTACAGCTGCCTCTCCTGGGAGGCCAGGTGGCTGCACTCAGCGTGTGGCCAGCTGCGTCCAGACAGTGCCCCGAGGGACGCCTGGTGACGTCAGAGCGCTTCCTTTGGACTCTGAGTGGACTGTGGGACATTGAGGACAGAAAACCGCATCTGTCCTGTCTGAAGAGAAGCGTGTCCTCTCGGAAGGGCGAGCTGCCTCTGCAGGCTCTCAAGTTGAAGATAAACCACAGCGTGTTCCTTGCCTGGAAGGCAGACGCCAGCTTGGCCCCTGTGAGGCTGCATCTGGGACATGGTCTGAATCAGCCAAACCCGCCCGGCTGGAGGTCTGATGGGAGCCCTTGCTGGGGGCACTTCCATGGCCCGCCTGGGGCCCCTGGACCTGGAGACGGTGCCGCGTCTGGGTGGGCGCAGCTGCTGGGCGCACAGGGTCTCTCCTGGGGTCTTTCCTTTCAGATGTGTCAGGGACGTTTGTGCAGGCGGCACCTGTGTGCGAGAAGGGTGAGCCTGGAGTACCTTAAGCACGTTGGTGTGGGGACGCTACCCGCCTGGCGCTCCAGGCCCACCTCTGTCACCCGCCCTCTGCACGCAGGGCCCCGTGCTCTCTGCCTGGGGACAGGGATGGACCTCTCCCAGCAGAGGCCTTGGTCAGCTCATCTCCTTAAAAACGCTCGTCCTGCTCTGAGGTTCCTGCTCGGTGGTGTGAGCAGCAGAGCCTGCAATGGGCTGTGAGGGCTCCGTCTCCGGCGGGGCTGACGGGTCCTGACTGCACATGGGCCTGGGACACATCCTGGGCCTTCAGGGTCCTCAGCTGTGGAAACACCGTGACTTTGTGGCTCTGTGCTGTGTTCAGAGGGGGTGGGAGAAGACTAAGCGAAGAACAGCAGTGACTGTTTTTAAAGGTGTGGCAGTGTCCACGCCCTGAAGTGCTTGTCAGTCAAACCAACACAGCAAACTAACATCTGGTTCATCGCCTTCTTCCTGAGGCGAAAGTGACCAAACGAGCTCTCCTCTTTTGTAGGAAAATGGAGGGGATCTTGGGGACTAAGGCTGTTGATCATGCCCAGAACTTGCTTAAGTTCTTAGATTGAAGCTTTAAAAATGTGTCATTTTCCTGGCTTTAGAAATCTAGCCACTAAATTGATACTGTGCAGTTTTGAAGTAGGCCTCCTGAGCTCATGGAAGGCTAATGACGTGAGCGGAGTTTGACACCAGGAGCCCCCACTGTCTTCTCCAGCTGCACCCGTGATTTCCCCTTCCCTTTGGGCGCCCTGCCGAGGGGAGAAGGTGCCCGGACACATTGTGGACAGGCTGGAAGGGGGCCGTGGGAAGGCGCCGCCCCAGAAGCAGCCAGGACAATCCCCTCAGTCATAGGGAGACAGGAGGGCTCAGCCACATTTTGTTGGGATACCCATGAACCCAGTAAGACTTGCGTGGTTGTGAACCTTCTTTTCAGAGTGTTTAGGCAGAAAGGGGCTGCCAGGTGGGTAAGTCTTGCTGCGTCCCCCCGACCCGTCTTTCCTGAGGACTGTGTGATGCTCACAGCCGCTCACCCCGAAGTCCTCAGAGCACAAGCTTGGATGACAGCATAGCAAGTGGCAGGGGCGACCCACCTGGTGAGGGCCATGAGGAACCCACCTGGCGCTTTCCCGGGAAGCCTGTGTGAGTCGGCAAATGCGGACAAGAGTTTCCAGAAGAGGCCGATTGTTCCAGAAGAGGAGCTCCCCCTGTCCCAGTCGGGGAGGGCTGTGCCCCGGCCCCGAGAAGCTAGCCCTCACGGGCCCACGAGGCAGCAGCGCTGGCCCGGCCACGGCGTCTTCTCCACATTGACTGACGTTTCGATCAGATGGGGTGCTGGGCTCGCATCCTATCATGGGTATTGGATGACTCTTGCTGCTTTCAATTTAGTTTAGGTAAAAAGAGAAGTCATAAATTGTGTGACCATATGCCAAAATGTGTAGAGGCCACCACAGTACAGAGAATGAGTGCTTTCCCTCCTCGAAGCCCCTGTCTGCCTGTCTGCATGGAGTTAGGAAGGAAACTTCAGCTTCCGGATTTGTCGGGGTGGGTCTGTCGTGAGGGTTATGGTCCCAAAGAGGACACCTTTAGTGTTACCTGACTTTCTCCTGATAAGGGGACAGCTGTAGAATCAGGTCACATTGTCAGGTGTCAGTGACTGCATTAGCAGCCAAAGCTGTTTTTCTAAACGGGGCAGTTGGGGGTGTGTTGCAGGGGTTTTCCTGATCACCGCGCACAGCAGAGTCTAGGGGTGAGTAATTAAGAAACCAGTGACACCCCATTGGCCCAGGATAAAACTGTGGTAAAATTGTGGAAATTTGGCAGGACAGGCAGTGGAATCCCGGAGAGCTTCCCGTTCCTGGGCTCACACGTTGGGTCCCCTGTGCGCCCCCCACAGGGACAGGCAGAGACGGCAGTCCCGCTTCACTCCATCGCACAGCTGGAGGCTGGTGGGCATCTCACAGAAGACGCGCCTGTGTGTCCCCGGGAGGGATGGAGCCGGCCTTGGGTGTCGCCGGCGTCCCCCCCTCCTCCGCGGCTCCGCCCCCTGCAGGGGACCGGCCCGAGCCCACGGCGCCCGGCTCCCCGCGCAGCCTCACCTGGGCCCGTCCCCGCCGCCAGGGGCTGCCCGGCGCTCCGCACCGCCCGGGCGGGTCGCCGCGGCGTGCGCCCCCGCGGCAGGCCGAGGGGCAGGGCCAGCGCTGACAGCAGCGTCATGCGCCGCACGGAGCAGCCGCAGCCCGCCAGGCACCGCAGGCTGCGCCCGCCCCTCGCCCGGCACGGAGGTGGGGCTGCCGCCTAGCTGCCGCCCCGCGCGCCCGCGGGCACAGGCTGGCTGCGGCGGTCCCCGAGCACGGCCCCCGCCGGGATGCGCGTCTGAGCGGGTCCCCGCGTGCTCCCAGCCGCGCACCTGCGACCAGGGCAGGTGTGTCCGCCGGAGGCCGGGGCGCGGGGCGCGGTGAGCGGAGGCCGGGCGCAGCGCCCCTCTGCGCAGTCCCTCTGCAAAATGGCTCACGCGGCTGCTTCTATCAAAAAAGTTCGCGAGGCCGAGCTGGATGAAAAGGAAAAAATCCTTGAGAGAGAGAGAAAAAAACAACGGAAAATCCCCAGGGAGCGTGCGGACCGGAAAAGAAAGGTATGCGGCAGCCCCGCGAGCCCCCCCGCGGGGTGGTCCCCCTCGTCCCCCCGTCATCGCTGCACCATTTCCCGGCTCGGCGTGCCGCGCGCGTTTGCTGCATTGGGAGCAGCTGCCCGAGCAGGCGCCTCTCCTGCGCTGCAGCCACGCGAGGCAGAAACGCCGCCGCTTGCTCCCGTGCACTCGGTTATCCGCAGCCGGCCTCGGGGCGGCAGGCGCCGTGTTCCTCGGGGCTGAGGGCGGCGTGTTTTCCTCTCGTTCCGTCCGTCAGCGGCCGGGCCTGGCCCCCGCCGGCCTGACTGGCTGGGAACGGCCGCGGGGACCGTTCTCCGTTTCCCCCGGAGCTTGACGGCGCTGGTCCGCGTGGACCTGCCCTGAGGTTCCGCTGCAGTGAGCTGTGCCTGAATTTTCAGAATTCCAGTTGTAATTATTTTCTCGTTTCCATCATGGATCTGACGGCTTTCTTTTCTGACTGTAGGGTGAAATGAAAAGACCGAGGTTAAGGAATGAATGGTTCCCTTCACATTAAACTGTAGAATTGTTGTCTCTTTCTCCGTCTTCTAAAATAGAAATAGCCTTACAGCTCCCTGGAACTGAAACACTCATTTTAGCCGGTGGTCTGGTTCTGTAAGGGAAGCAGATCTGTGTAAATGCTTTAATTAACAAAGTAGGTCAAGGAATAATTTCAGAAGATGGTAAACGGCATATTCCACTAGCAGAACGTGAAAACAGTGTTTTTACCCGGAGCTCAGCTCAGGAATGCACGCTCAGCCGCATCCCCTCAGTCACAGGGGTGCTCCCTCCCCGTTTGGGGGTGCTCTCTTTGCCTTGTTTTTTTTTGGAAGGACACTTGAGGGCCCAGGGGCATGAGGTCAGACCAGCAGGGAGCCTCCGTGGCCTTTCAGTTTTCCCACTTAACTTCACCACTAGTTAGATCAAGCGACACAAATAAATAAAATTATCAGTATATGATAATGTCCCCTTTGGGGAAAACTTCCATTCGCTCTGTCTGACCTTTAAGAGGCCTTGTTTCAAGGGCACCCGAATTCTTTCTGGCAGCATCAGGAGCCTTCTGCCTGTGTTTGGGGAAGCCCGCTCCCCTCGTCACAGGTCCTGTTTCTACTCCTCTAAATGGACGTTGGTGCAGAACCAGTTTCCTGCGGTTTTATCATGTTTGTCTTTTGCTCTTTAAAAGCCTGTGTGTTCCTCTCGGCCGGGCTTGCTGTTCAGCGTCCCGTTGTGACCTGGTCCCTTCACTTAGCTGGTGACCAGCACACATCTTCGAAACCTCGTGGTCTCACTCTGGTTGGTTTCCAGGACTGGCTCAGTGTTTTACCTTTTTCTGTACCAATTAACATTGGAAGTCACATCGTTAATGGAAAAGTGCCAGTTGCTGTTGACACTCTCAGTTGCTTAGATGCGGCATCGCTTTGAAGCAAAGCCAGTACAGTGGGCGACACCGTCGGTTAAGGGCGTGGTCATGTGACGGGACCATCTGACGGTCACATTTAGATATCATTCAGCAGAATGGGACCCGAAGGTGGCAGCACGGCCACTGCTTGTTCTCGGTCCTCTCCTCACACACCTGTCGGTGGTCCTCCCTCTCCCCCTGCGGACGCAGGTGGCATCCAGCAGGTGCTCCCACCATGCCTCGCACCTGAGCGCTGGCCGAAGGTGCTGGCCCCTGTGCCCATCAGGTCTGCTCTGTAGGTGCACCGGCGCATTCGGCCTCCTGAGCCCAGTCGCAAGTGTGGTTGGAGAGAAGGAAGGGTAGTCGGTGAAGGAGTGGAAGAGGGGCTTTTGCTTGCTGGTGTCACCCTGGGCCACCCTGTCCAGAAAGCCATCCAGAAAAGATGACACTTTATTTTCTGGTGCCATTTTATAACCTGAGGGAAGAGATTGTGTATCGTTGACATATTCATCTGTAAAGTGTCTTGCAAATGAATGTGTTTATCCACAAAATCCAGGTAGACCCGCCCCCGTGAAGATGAAAGCTCATTTGCCACCTCGCCAGGGGTAGCGGTTTTCAGGGGCCATGTTTGCACCAGCTCAGTGCGAGCAGACTCCTCTTAGCGCGAGCTCGGGCTTCTTTGGGCTGTACTCTGCATAGCTAATGTGCAGCCATAGTGAGAACCCGACGTATGTTGTACGCCTCAGAGCTAGAATAAAGTGCTCTGTAAGCAGATGGACCAAGATTACGATGAGTTGAAAGAAACGAATTTAGCATTTATTTGCTAAAAAAAGAGTACATTGATATTTTAGCTTTTTACTGGGGTAAGAGGATATTACTGTTCTAAATCTTAGGTCATATTGAGTCATTTTTTTTGTGTGTCCAGATGTCTAGTTTCTATGCTGGAATCTGAAAATTTTAGACTTGAGAAGGATGCCGAAAGAAATAATTAAATGACTTAATCAAATTTCTCACAAACTTGTAAGACTCAGTTTTAAAAAGTGATTTTGAGTATAATATTCTTTTCACAACCACATACAGTAATACCTTGGTTTGCGAGCATAATTCATTCCGGAAACAAACTACGCATATTGCAAGACATTAACCACATTAAAATGTATTAGAAATGTTTGCTTGTCTTGCGGAACACTCACAAACCATGTTACTTGCAATCCAAGGTTTTGATGTACTTATTTTCCAGCTGTACTTTTTTTTTAATTTGGAAAAGTAAATGATTTTTAGAGAATTGGTTAAAAAAACCCAATTCCATCCTTGCAAGCAAAACATACGTTTAAATTGTCTTCCTCATTTAAACTATCAGTTATTTTCAAATAAATAGATGTGTTCTCCATTTCTCAGCATGGACAAACCATTTTCCAACCCATTGTAATGCCTGCAACTCCCATGAATTATCTGACATAAAAGTCGGTGTGTGTGACCAGTTCTTAGTATCCTAATGCTTCAGAAATTCTTTCCATTATTTTAGCTTGTACGATTGAAAATGCAGAGTTGATACTTCCTGTAAAAAGTTGATGATAATGCTTATTGAGCACCCACCTGGCCCTGTGTCTGGCACTATGCAGCCCTGATGGCAGTGACTGCCTCCCAGCACTGCTCTCTCCACCTCACACATGGGGGAACGGACACCCAGAGTTAGGGAGCTTGCTTCATCACCTGCAACGAGTGTGTGGCAGAGTTGGGACTGGAACCCAGGCTCCAGAGCTCATGGGGGCGGGGGGAAGGTAACATGATTTCTTGGTCTCGTACCCACGCTGAAGGCAGAGTGTAAGAAGCGAACGTTTACTCTGGCAGTGCCTCAGTCCCTTCCCCTCCAAACACCTTCCTACAACGGAAGAAATTCCTGCAGTGAGAATAAGTTAAATGACATATGAGAGGAAACTAGACAGATTTAAGGTTGTGATTGTATTGTAATTGCACCAAAATATTTCTTGAGATTTCTTGGAAATTCAGCTATCAGAAGCCAACATTTCCTCCTTACATACAGCAGTTGTTGTCATTGGTAGACTATGTTTATATCAACATTCTTTCCTGGTATTTTATTAGGAGTTACAATGTGCTTGGATATTTGCATTTATTAAACTGACACAGAAAGGTGATTTTTGCTTGGGATAAAGTAGAAAATAAAAGCAAACTTTCTTTCAAGTCCTTTTCATTGACTTTCATAGAAAAAGATTCTGAGCAGTTGTTAGCTTTGGTTTTTATGTGTGTTGTTATTGCCTTGGAAGGATCAGGCTTACTATTACTATTTCTAGGACAACTTTGGGGGGGTCCGTACCGTGTTAGCCTTGTTCCCTTCGTTATGAAATTCGTGACAATGAGAATACTGAGTATATGTAATGGATTTATTACCAGGTTGTAAGGGGACATGGAGAGATGAAGACTTTTAAAGGTTATTATGTTAGTATACTGTTTGAAAATGGAAGAATGTTTTATTTGCAAGTATGGAGAGAAACAACATATTGTGTAAGCTTTGAATGTGTTACAGGAATGAGTTGTAAATAAACATAAAACAGTGTGGCTGGCTGTGCCCGCCTGCTTGGTGGTCTGCAGGTGTCCGAGGAGGGGGTGGGAGGACGCACACAGTCGTCTCCCCTCCCACCCTGGGGCCCGCTCTGCACTCAGCAGCCTGATTCCATCAGGAGGCTCACTCTGGGCGGCAGGCACATGGGCTTCTGGGCGCCCAACCAAACACAAGGGGATTAAAAATACTAATCACAACAGAATAATGTGGTCCTGTGTAATGCCTTGCATCTGAACTCTGCAAACATGGAAAATTCCAGTAACATTTTCAGGACATCACATTGTCTTCCTGGAACTTCTGACAGCCCCTCCTCCACCTTTCGGGACTTCCAGAAAGCACGCGGACGGATGTGAGGAAGACTGGGGGTGTCTGAGCCTTATCTGGACACTTGTTCTTCTGGCGTCCTCATGTCCGGCGTGAGGGGAAAATTGAAAAGCTCTGTTGATTTACTCTCCCATTTGAGTCTAAGTAAATATCTGTTTACATGATCTGTAGAATCATGGCTTTGTAAACCCATTTCTTCCTCTTTAACCTTCCTTCTAGCCCTTTTTCTTAGCTCACCTCACAAACCCTTTCGTGGCTGGAATAATTACCTTTATATAAGTGACTTGCACTATTAACGGCACTCTTTCCTGGCACCGTCTTAGTTTTTATTAGTTTTTAATTATAAGGAACCTCTTTCAACTACTGAGTGGGTGACTAACTACTAGCTTCAGGTTACAGCTGTCAGATTTGTGGGATTCTGGCAAAAATAGTCCCAATTAAGGTGGCTGGAGATACGTTTTTAAGAAGACTGTTAAACAACAAGTATAATCCTAATTTTAAAAAGCTTCTATGAATGAGTTTATTTTGAAATCTAAAATCTTAAAACAGAACCCAATGTAATATCCCTCTTTTTTTGTTAAACTAACCTGAGGTCATATAAATGCTTTAATCTCCAACAAATCAGAATTAATTTATTGGTGACCTTTATTATCAAACTTTAAATTTTATTAGTCACCTTATTCC